GCTGCAGCGATCATGGCCCCCGGCCGCTGCGCGGCCCGGTGCCAGGTACTCCACGGCCCGGCACCGGTCCACGGCCCGGGGGTTGGGGACCACTGATATACAGTATATCTTGGTATTTTATGAAACTATATGTATATGTACAGTATCTCAAATTTTTCCTAAACCATTTTCACTTGAATACCTATTTTTGGTTGTGCTGATTAGGTCTTGATTTGGCTTAGGTTGCTGTGTAAACACTATCGTTTACATGTCCATATTTTTGACTTACAGTGTTCTGTGAATCCAACAAATCTTAACATATTCTGCTAAATGTAGTGAGTAGAAGGTCAGCAATGTTTTCTAGTGCTGACATCTGATAACCCAGTCATTCTTCTTGCTAACCCCAGATCACCCAAAATCACAGGAGATCAAATCACCAAGAAATTATCCACATAGGCATTTAATTTTTATTTTACATTTTAAGCTTTACAGTTGCAGAGTGCTGTATCTGTTCCTGCTTTGTATGACAGTGCTAACATCATATATTAATGCTTTTTCTTCATTTCTACTATAAGCAAGTGGAAGAAAGTGCATGATGTCAGCGTGCTTGAAAATAATGGTGCTTTGCTTGTTCTACTGTACATCAGGGGAGAATTTTGACCGCCAAGCCAGCATACGGAGGTCTTTGATTTACACAGACACTGTGGTAAGGCGGCCGAAGAAAATGAAAAGGAGAAAGACTATTACAGGAGTCCCTGACAACATCCAAAGAGAGCTAGGTATGGCTCATCAGAACTGTATTCCATTTCAATTAATTGCTTATTGTAACTAAACTCATAACATTTAATTGCGCTTATGAAACCAATACAGTCTGATAGCCTCCTAAAAGTTCCAAATGAATGTATGGCTGGTGACTAAGAAAGAATAGCGAGTGCATTCTTCGTATTATTATTTGTCTCCTACCAAGAAATTAAAATTCCCGTTCCACACTGAAGCTTATGTCTGGGATTTGCTGCAAGGAAATGCAAATTAACACACATGTGGATACTGTCACTAGTGGACTTGAGGTATTCAACAGTAGCCATTTTCTAATTTTCAGGGTCATTTCACAGATGATAGTTTTGATCTAAAAAATTTCCCATTTCAGATTGTGTGTTGAATGAATATCCTGTTTCCCCGAAAATAAGACCTCCCTGGACAATAAGCCCAAACGGGCTTATTATTTAGCGTGTGCGCTAAAATAAGCCTTCCCCTGAAAATAAGCCCTCCTGGAAAATATTGTAACACAGCAACAACCATGAGGTGACCACGCTCGCCACTTCCTGCACCTCCAAAATAATAAGTCCACCCTGAAAATAAGGTCAAGCGCTTATTTCGAGGGTCAAAAGAAAATAAGACCCTGCCTTATTTTTGGAGAAACACGGTACATACATTTGTTTTATATAGTACATGGAAAGGCCTTCTGTGTAAGAAAGCTTTAATGTGCAAATTATACTTTTATTGAATAGGTATTAAGTACATTAATATAACTTGCCGGTTTAATTGCTGCCTAAACATTTCTCCAAGTTCTAACATCTCATGAGGATCATTTTGTTACAGTTATTCTACTAACTATATCTCCCTTTAAAAAATGAAATACAGGTATTCTTGACTTACAATAGTTTATTTACTGACTGTTCAAAGTTAACATTACTAAAAAATGTTACTTATGATTGTTTTCCATACTTATAACCGATCATGTGATCAAAATTCAAAAGTTTGACAACTGGTACATATTTATGACAGTTGCAATGTTGTGTGATCACCTTCTGTGACCTTCCGACAAGCAAAGGCAATAGGGAAGCCAGATTCACTTAGTAACCATGTTATTCACTTAACAACTGCAGTGATTCACCTAACAACTGTGACAAAAAAGTTTGTAAAATGGGACAAAATTCATTTAACAACTCACTTAGAAACAGAAATGTTGCGCTCAATTGTGGTCGTAAGTCAAGGACTACCTGTAATAAGTCTTTAAACATATGATGCAGATTCAAGTATGTTGAATCTATGTATTTATTAATCAATTTATATAGCCACCTCTCTCAATAATAATTACTTATGCTTTATAAGATTTTTAATAATTTTATTAAACATTACAGTTAAAAAAATAAAACCTAATACAAACTAAAAAGAAAAATAAGAAATAAAAAAATGGAAAGAAAGAAAAATAAGAATATAGTAAAGAAAGGAAATACGTAAGAAACGACTTGTCCCTCTGTGAGAACAAATACAAATAATTTTAGTAACTAGTCACCTCCTGTTAAAATACGACAAATTGTCTCTTCTTCTCGTATTTCATATCTTATTTATATGATATATATCTGTGATGGCGAGCCTATGGCACCCGTGCCACATGTGACACACGGAGCCATATCTGAGGCCATGCAAGGTGTTGCCCTATGTCAGCTCCAGTGCGCATGTGTGCCCTGGCCAGCTGATTTTCAGCCTTCCGGAGGGCGGGGGAAGGCCATTTTTTGCCCTCCCCAGGCTTCAGGAAAGCCTGAAGCCTAAAGCCTGGGAAGGGTGAAAAACGGTACAACAGGCAAACCGGAAGTTTGTTTCTGAACTCCCATTTTTTGCCTCCACAGGCTCCGGAAGCTTTCCTGAACATTATGGATATAGGCACACTCACACACGCCCTTTTGGCACACCAGCAGAAAAACGTTTGCCATCACTGATTAGATAGATAGATAGATAGATAGATAGATAGATAGATAGATAGATAGATAGATAGATAGATAGATAGATAGATAGATAGATAGATAGA